AAAAATTTTACCTCCCAGTTTATGTTATTTGATCATAATCCTACCTTTGATTTTCCAAATCACCTCATACCAGAAGTGAGAAACCATTCTCACACTTCTCCCATTCCCCAAATCTGTCCCCAGTCCCAAGGTCATGGGGAGTTGCCTCTTGAGTGCCACTGGGATAGGCTTGAGAGGAGTGATTGTCCTTGATCCATGAACTCTTTGTTGAGAGTTTTGGTATCTATGTTAATTGTAGTTTTCTGTTTTCTTTTTTTGTTCTTTGTCTGGTTTTGGTGTCAAGGTGACCATTCTGTAGGTTATCACTGCCTGGTCTGTTTCCCATTTAGGGCTGCTTCCCCAACTTCCTGCTGTCCATGTGTTCCTGATCTAGGCCAAGTGAATTCTCAGGAAGGCCTCCTCCAATAGAGGTTGTTGCATCTCTCCTTTGCCCTTTACAGGAACAAGCATATGGATAAGGTGGTTCTCAGAGCCAGTCCACCAAAGCCTGTAGGGTGAGTTTGATGGGTTAGTTTGAGGGTAGGGAGGGAGGATGGGGAGTAGCTAATCCATACCCTTTTTGTGCCAAGATACTCCTCAGCACAGGTCTTTATGCCAGGTCAGCACTGGCACCTCTGTGAGTCAGCCACCTGCAGCACTTGCAGCAAGATGGTGAGTCTCTCTCAAAATTCAGGTCAAACACTCCAACCTTATGGGTGATTCTGTTGTATGTGCTCCCCTTACTGGCTTTATGGAGCACTATTTAAAAACTGAGGGACAGAGGAATGGGGGGAGGATAGTTGCTCCCTTACAAACAATGCTTTCCTCTAAAGGCTTCTAGCCCTCTTAATACAGTCAAAGAGGTCTAATGTTTTGATAGGTTTTCTGCAATGTCTCTTCTTATTAAACCCCTTGGGAATGATGGGCTATACATGGCCATTTCTTTGAACTTATAATGGAACAGAGTTAAGAAATCTAGTACCTTCCCATGAATTGTAAGGTAGGGAGCAGGGGATACATTAACTCTTAGTGTCTTAGTCTGTTTGGGCTGATGTAACAAAAATATCATAAACTGGGTGGCTATGAACAACAGGAGTTCATTTCTAAATGTTCTGGGGGCTAGGGATTTCAAAATCAAGGTGCCATTAGATTTGGTGTTTGGTTAGGGCCCACTACTTGGTTAATAGCTGGCTGTCTTCTCACTGTAACTTCACACAGGGGAAGGGGCTAGGGAGCTTTCGGGTCTTTTCTATAAGGGCACTAACCACTCATGAGGGCTCCACCCTCATGACCTAAGTACCTCTCAAGGGCCCTACCTCCAGATACTATCACTGTGGGCTTTAGAATTTAATATATGAATTTGGTGGTGGTTGCGGGGGAGGACATAAAAATATATAGTCTATAGCATCAGGGGAGCAAGAAAGGAATATTTATTGGTTTCCTACATTCTCATGGGACACATTAGAATGTGTGCGTACACACACACGCACACACACACAAACCTTGAGACTCTTAAAGCATCTTGGGGTGAGGAGGATTGTAGCAACTTATTAGGATCTTTTCAGTTTCTAAATTATTCATGTTTTGTAATCATAAAGAACAAATAAAGATTATTATTATTTTTAAAGAATTTTGATCTGTAATTGGGGCTTCTTAGATTTAAGAACTTCATTCAAGAGAATGTATCCAGTCCTTACTGGTCTGTTTTATGTTGAAAGAACAATACATCCTGACTAGGTAGAAGACTGGAAAAATGATTGTTATGTACATCCCTACCTGCTCAGGTGCATCACTTTGTCTTTTCCCTCTTTACCAATTTTCCTGATTCAAACTCCTACTACCCTTGTAACTAGTCACTCTCATCAACAACACAGGTTTATAAGGCTTTTCCAAGCTGATAATCAAGCAACTGCCCAATATTACTCCAATAAGTAGGTGTTCAGAGTCAGCAAAAGGGTGAACCCAGTTTATGAAATGGGCTTAATTCAATGAAGAGTACGTTAGATATGGAAAAGGTTCAGTTTAGTTTTGGTAAAAGCTCCAATTTCATATAAAATTTAAAATGGTGGGGGAGATTATGCTCTAATTCTTTGTCTCCCTCTAACCATGAATTCTCCTTTCTATGCAGAATTAAAAATGGATGTAAGAGGAATTTATTCTATAACTCTTGGGCACTACAACCAAATAAAATATCAATAAATGGATTGGAGTAGACGAATAAAAATTGAAGAGATTTCTTTCAGAATTGTTGCTGGTCTACCTCTAACCCCAAGGAGTAGTGTGTGTGTGTGTGTGTGTGTGTGTGTGTGTGTGTGTGTGCACGCACGTGCGCCCGTGCTTGGGGGAATGGGGTGGGATGTTACCATCTAACCCCCAGCCTAGTAGAGGTGGCCTCAAGGCAGCTACTTGCAGAATTTGAAATATGATCCTTGCAATTGAGAGATACAGGCCCAACTCAGGCCTGGAACAACTACAGTAGACTGGGAAGGGCGAACTGACTCCTTTTGGGAAGAAGAGTTGATTGCTTTGATGGTAGAACTAGGAGAATACAGATATATTGAGATTGGCCTGTGCCTCCAAGGTTGTTGGTGCAAGATATGATGATCACTTCCTATAGAGGGGATTTGGGTTCTGTGGGGGAACAGGGGAAAACTGGCCTGGGGTTGTCTTAGGCCTCTCCTCCAAGCCAAGTGGGCCTCGAGGAGAGGATTAGGAGACCTTAGCAGGAGAGGCAGAAGTAAGTGTACCACAGTATGCCCTGCAGCTGGTGAAGGAATTCTAAATGGACTACCTGGAACAGAGATGTCTCTATTCACTTTATGGCAACTATAGGAGAGAGGACTCCAGAGAAATGACTACTCCACAGAAGAATCAGGATCAAACATTTACAGGTCCAAAGAGCATGAAGCCAGCCTATAATGGTACCAATTCATGTTAAAACAACCTTCTCTATTTGTTTCTTCCCTCTTTATTTTGTCCTTGCAGGGAGACCATTTTCTTCGTTCCCTACTGCAGGATTCCAGCCTGAAATAGGTCCCAGGTAGAGGATAACTTATCACCAAATAATACGTTGTAAAGAGATGGTGGGATTCACTCATAAAATTGTGTGCTGATTACATTAAAAATTATGTTTGTTCAATTCAGTGGTTAAATATGTACCCACACTCCAATGGACCCACCCAGGTAAGCCATCCCAGGAACTATTTCACTATGGACCTATGGCAGTATTTGTTTTGTTCACTTATGAACATTACAAGAATCTGCGATTTCATTATATATGTTTACAAACACAAATTCGTTTGGGGTATAAAGTCATCATGGAATTCAGACATGTATAGCTCTGAACAGAAAGGTCATAACATCACGTGATAACTCTGTGTCCAGCCAAGCAGTTTCTAAGGCCGGGGGCGCCCAACGCCAGCAAATTAGAAAGTCATTTGGGCATCTGTAAACGTTTTCTTGAGTCAGTAATTCCTGGTGAGGATTTCTGCTTACACACTGCCCATTCCGACTTGGACACTAGGTACAAACTTCCTTTCTGGGAGGAAACTGAAACCCCTCAAGTTGGCTTGTATCGCCAAATACACCTACTCCAGCCCTCGTGGCGATCCACGGCTTTTACAGTCCGTCAGCTTCGGCCGAATCAAACAGCATCTCAAAAAGACGGCGTTGCTGTGAGACAACACCCTCGCGTGGACCACCGCATCTCCGGGGCTGTCAGAGGGGTGACGTCACGGCGTTCCCGGCGCGCGCCGGGCCTGAGCGTCGCTGGCCGCCCCGCCCCCGCTCAGCCCATCGCCAGGGGACGCTCATGGGCTGGGTTTCCTTGGCAACCACTTGCTCCACCCNTTTAAAGCAATGAACTTACTTAATGGCACAGTTCTAATTACTATCCTGTAAGTTTTGATAGGCAATGATCTTACTTTCACAAGAAGAATCTATTAATACAATTTTTATATATGTTTTACATGGAACAAAATGCTCAGGTTTTAAGTATAGTCATTCCTTGGTATCTGCAGGGAATTGGTTCCAGGATCACCACCCCCGCATATTAAAATCTGAGGATGCTCGAATTTCTTATATAAAATTATATTTGCATATAATCTACACACATCCTCCCTGTACTTAAATCATCTCTAGATTAATTGCAATACTAATACGATGCAAATGCTATGTAAATAGCTGTTATAGTGTAGTGTTTAGGAAATAATGACAAGAAAAAAATGTTTGTACATGTTCAGCACAGATGAGACCATTGTAAGTCTAACTACAATACATTGTACACTTCAGCAATAACATAATTTTTTCTGAATATTTTTGATCCCGAGGTTGGTTGAATCCACAAATGTAGAACAAGCTGCTTTGATCTGTCTCTGTGCAACTTTGTATCTTACATGACCAAGTCCAAGTACTGCATAATGATCTTGGTTCTTTTATTCCTTGGGATCAAGTGTTTTCAGCATGGGACATTCTTCTAACTGCAATTCTTCATCTTCTGATCCCCCTGATAACTCTTTCTTCTCCTCCAGTTCCTGAAAAGAGGCACAAGATTGTTTCTCCTCTTAACAAAAGCTTCAAACCATCTCCCACAGGTTCAACTTGACGGTGTTGAAGGTGAAAGCGTTAAGAGAGGCTTCAGTGCATTGTGTGGAGTAAATCAGAGGTCAGAGTGTGGTGATGGCGGTGCCCTGGCTCTCTGCAGCACTCAGGAGAGCAGCATGTTGGCACCCAGGCCAGCCCCCTGGACACAGCGGTTCGCATGAGGGGCAGAGGGTGATTAGCATCCCCTCTAGCTTTACCTCCTGGTCCCAGACTCGTGCCTTGTCTCTGAGACCAACAGAAACCTGTGCATGGAAGCAGCTGGTAATTACTTCCCGGTGTTTGAGTTGTATAAAAAAAATTATTTTTTATACCTTAAAGTACATAAACACCAAGTTTAAGAATTGACACAATGTAAAACACTTGGAGGTCTTAAATGATATTTAAACATGTCTAGACTATAAATAAATCATTTCCTATAGCCAGAAGAAAAATATTAAGAAAAAAAACTAACATGTATCACCCGTTTATGTGGAAATGTTTGTTCCATTAGGAGAAGTATACACACAGTATCCATTAAGAGTTTATAATTGCAGAAATATGGAAATGTGGATTTCACAATTCACATTACGATACTGTGTGTAATCTAATTTTAGGATGAGAAATTAGAAAGTTGCCTCTGTGTCCACAAATCAAAAACATGCATTTTTCTATACAACAAAATAGATGAAGTACATTTAAAAAAATATACCTTATACTTTCGGGTACCCCAAAAAGCTATTTTGATTATAAATGAAAAATGGAGACCATAAACTGCATTTTTCATGGATTGGCTCTTGTGCAAACACCTCTGGCTCCCTCCTGAGTTATATACAAATAAGAAAATGTTCTAGCAGAACCAAATAGGCCTCTCAAACCATATGTGCCAATTACCTTATAAATACACTTTGAGTCCTTTTATAAAGAAAAGAAGAAACCTCTTAGGGTTGTGATGAACAATTTAGTTGGATGACAGCAGAAGGATTAGAGGAGAAAAGTAGATAATGTAATATTGGGAGGAAAAGGCATGCTCAAACTTCCTCAGGCCCATAGGTATTTTCACCCCAGATCACTGTTAAATCCTTTTGACAGAAGATTAAGTGTAGGTGGTATACGGAGCACAACAGAGAGCTAAATTCTATATAAATCAACACATAATGGATCAGGACAGACATGTGCAAAGTCACTAGGATCTGAGGCCAGCAAGGCTTAACTGTAACCTGAGGTATTAAAATAGCTAAAGAAAGAATTTGTCGATCAAAAGGAGGATTATGGGTTAGTAATAGAAGCACAGACAAAATGACAGAGAAATTTTGAGGTTTTTCTAGTGGCTTATTTGGATGGGCAGTCTAATATTTTAAAATTTCAACAAGGTAAAAAAGAATAAAAAATTGATGTATAAAAATCAGCTACTTGTTTTAAAAACACAACACATTAACATCCAGCAGTGTTAATTACATATGCATACAGTTAATTTGTATACATAACTATACTTCGCTATGGTCTAAATGTAATTTTGGGTTGTAAGTTATACCAACTAGTATGGTTCCTATTCTGTGGTTAGTTTGATTGTTTTCTGGGACTAAGTTCTGAAGTTATTTCTGTGGGGCTCTTTTATTATTTTATTATTATTATTATTATTATTATTTTTAAGATTTTTTTAATTGGGGAGTTGGGGGGATGGGAACAGCGTTGGGGAATTGGGGCAAGGGGAGCAGACAAGTTGCTGTCGTTTTGTTCTTCAGTCTAGTTGTGGAGGACGTTGCTTCATGGCCCAAGTTGGCACCATCATTGTGCTCTTCCCGGGTGAGGCAGATCAGTCGCCAGCTCTGGACAGCCACTCACTGAGGCTGCTGGCCGCTCACGCTGGCTGCTGGCTACACACAGTAGCTCATGGCAACCCACTGCCACAGGGACTGCAGCCTACGGCGTCACCGGCGACTCAGGGCAGCCCAGCTCCAGGTTGAGCTGTTGTTCAGCATCTTAGCTGT